GTCGTCATCTGCTGCACACGAGTCGTCATCTCTCTCGAGTCGTTGTTCAGCTCGTTTCAGCCTTGCGTCGGCTTCTTTGATCACACTCCGCTGACCTTGATGTCGCCGTCGCTCAAGTAAGTTGGCTTTCAAGCTGCGTGATCCGCCGCGATGATGATTACTCGTTTCCACGAGGGAGTCGTGAAAAATATTTTACGACTCCCTGGTTTCATCTTCGCTCTCCAGAACTCCGGGAAACGAGGAGTAAAGGCACAGCCAAACTGACTCCATTTTCTCTAATGGATACCCCTGCCAGCATCATTCCTCTTGCAGTAAAATCCAAAAACTACACGGAAAAATTCAGACACTTTTGCATCAACTGTTGTTGCACAGAAAAATGTTGGTGGCGCAAGGAGAAGCTTGTCGTTTGGAGTGACAAGTGATCACCGCTGCTTTTCCTTGTCAGAGTCAACAATACACTTTGTTCTGCAGCGTTGGGAGTGGTGTTGGAGTAGAAATTGCTGACTAGACGTCGCGGAGGGGCGAGCTTTCCTGCGCAGGTATGAGTTGGGACGTATTTCAGAATGATCGAGTGGAAAAATTCAAAATTGTTTATTTCAAGAAAACCCAAAAAGGATGATGGGGACATGTCCTCAGTGCTAGAAGAGGTGTTCTACTATCTGCCGGTGTATAGTGTTTGCTAATTGAGGACGTAGCTCGCTGTTTTATCAGCGCTTGCAATTTGGCTATTTTCAAGACGATCATTTGTGGCGTCAAGGGATGATTGCCCTCGTCTTCTGGGATGCTGGCGTGGCTAAGTGGTGCTGCCCCAAGAACTCTTCTAAGGTGAGGTAATGTTGGCTTGATGGAGTTTTGTTCGTAGCTTGTTCTTGTACGCTGTGCCGTGTCTCGTTTGTAGACCCATAAATCGAGCCAATATTGGGCCAATATTGAGGGGTATGCCAATGTCATGGTTCCCTTCAAAAGATTCTGTGCGGGCTTTGGAATGTCGATCTACACCCCAAAGCAAACCTACCTGCAAATTTTGAGCGAAATCTGAGAGATCGACTTGCACATATGTTCTGGTTTTCTCAGACATGCTCTCTTAAGGCAGTTCCAGCAGAGTCTCTCTCGCTGCAGAAAACCCTTTCTCCCTTCCTGTGGCAGCGACTTTAGTTGCTTCTCTGCATCTGCGACCGATATCGCCATGCACTGTGCCGACGCCGTGGGCCTTGGCACGGATCGTTCTCCTGGCTTCCTGGCAGTATCACCCTGTCGTCCGTGCGCGACCTGGTAAGACGCGCCGTGCTCCTGTACCTGGCGCAGAGACATCCCGTAGCACTGCCATTCGACCAGGTACATCTTCATCTCAGGTCCGCATTGCTCCAAGATTACCTGCTTTGCCATTGCTTGCGGCACCGGGGCCATTTTACCTATATCGGCGCTATACTTGGTGTCCACCTCGCCATCTTCTGTCATAGCGAGTGTGGCCCACACCTCTACCTCTCGGCAAACACGGACAACGTACTGGTGAAACGACTCGTCTGACCGCAGCTTGCCTGTCAGCAATGTCTTCCACGCTTTATCCGGAGTCTTTCCGAGCGAGGCAAGCAACTCTCGCTTTGCTTCCTCGTAATTATTGCATCCAATACATATCCTCTCCGCTTTACTACCCGCTAGCGCGATGCCCAGTCATAGCAGCCATTCGCTTTCTTCGAACTCGTTCTTGGAACAGATGTCCTCGAACAGGTCAAGATAACGCTCCAATGGCTGCGTTCCATCATATGAGGGGATTTTCATCAACGGTTGACGCCCACTGCTCTGACTGGGAGCTTCCTCTGTACCTCCCATCGCGTCTTTACCATCACCCTCATACGCATTGGCGATGCGCTCGTTAATCTCCTTTAGTGTTTTGTCAAACTCGGTGCGGAGCGCGTCCTCTCGCCGTCTGGCACTGCGCTCCTCACGCTCTGCATACTGTTGGAGCCTCTGCTCCACATGTACCTTCAACAACTCGCCTTCTAATCCTAACCGCTCTCCATTGTCGATAAAGCTGGCTTCCAAATTGTTCCATAGTTACTCTGCCATGCTCGCTCCTATCCTGGCCCGGTCGCCAAATGTTGTGAACCCTCTAAGATTCTCTAAATTGTCAAGATCGTACAACCACACGGCACGAGGACAACTCTTTTCCTTTACACAGTATATTTCACTTCATCGAATAATTAACAATGAACACTACTAACACCAGCTATTTATAGCATGCAAAAACAGCGTACATGCAAAACATATGCATATAAAACTGGACATAACTGTGTATACAGCAAAAACGCACACGGCGGAGTCGAAATACAACATTGCAACGAATACGCGAATTGCGCGAAGGCCTTTCCCAATTGAGAACTGGTGGTTTGCAACAACGGTAGACGGTGTCGTATTACCCTCGATCGTACCGGTCCCGTACCTATCTCGTACCGTACCGTGCTATCAAAGACAGCTGACCACAATGCCTATTCAAATAGGGCTTTCAAATGCAAGATCATAACGTGAAGCAACTTGGAAGAATTATAATGTATGCGAAGTGAATCGGGGGATGCATGCAGGGCGCGCGATAGTGCGGGTTCGAATCCCAGGTTATGTCTTTAAAAAAAAAGGATTTTTTTAAAGAACTTATAACATCCCTATGCTTTTTTTTGTCTAGGTCATCAAGGCAAAAAAGCATAGCGTAGGGCCCTGAGCTTCCAAGCTCCCTCGTTTGGCGTTTGTTTGTTTGTGTGTTTGTGTCACGCCTGGAGCTATCCCGTATCTGTCCCGTATCTGTGACTACAAAGGCTCTACAGGATTGTACATAACAGCTGGCCACCATATTTGCTGGCTCCAGTATCTGTCCCGTACTGTACCATCAAACACAGCTGGCCAAAATATTCGTCGTATTATGTATACGACTCCCTGATGTAGAGGGAGCTTTGGAAAGAAATAGGGAGACGAGGAGGAAATGAAAGTAGAATAGACGACGAATAGGTGATTGGATGCGTCAGCAAAAACATACTTTGGAAGAGAGATCCCGTCGTCTCCAAAATAAGCGTGAATGGGCGATTCACGCCGGTCACAGGAAACGTCGGAAGAGAGATCTCGTCGACTCCAGAACGCCAATGATCGGCAGAGTCAGCGCCAGTCACAGGAAACATCAGGACAGACATCCCGTCGAGTCCAGAACGCCCGTGATCGGCAGAGTCGGCGCCCGTCTCAGGAAACGTCAGGGCAGACCTCCCGTCGAGTCTAGAACGCTCGTGATCGGCAGAGTCAGCGCCAGTCCCAGAAACGATTTTCGATAGCGATTTAATTTCGCTGATTTCGCCGCTTAGTACCAACCGGCCACAGTAAATCGCAGGCCAAAGTTTGTTATAGAGGCAAATGATGCATGATTGAGCAATGGATGCATGTGAAAGCAAAAAAAAACGATCGATTTCTTTTTGAAAACTCCAATCGGCCAAAGTTTCTCATCGGCCGAAATTTGTTAATTTACAGTATAAGCAGATGAAAAAGAAAAAAGGAGCAAACCAAAAGTGGATGAAATTAGAGAAAAATAACAATCCGCAATAAATTCTACAAAATGTTATTTTTTTTGCCTAACTCATATTCAAACTTATGGAAATGTTTTTAAAATACAATGATGTGGCCAATCAAAGAAAAAAACAACAACATCAGTTCTAATAACATGTACGATGAACTAGGCAAAAAAGCATAGCGTAGGGCCCTGAGCTTCCAAGCTCTCTACATCAGCCAGTTCTGTTTATTGCAATGTCTTACCCTACTCGCGCGATTAATACCCCTGGAGTACTATTTTGTAGTGTCCACCACAGATGGGGCACCATTCAAGAGAGGGCACAATTTTTTTCCGTGCTGGTACATTTACGTTATCCCGCATAAAAACAAAGAAGGCAAAGAAAAACAGAGCCTAAATTGCACAGTAAGCTATCACAACTCAACAGAATGGGCAACTAGAACAGTGACGTTGATCCTGAAACCACCAGTGCATTGACATGGACAAGAACAATAGTCATTCGCAAAAGAACACCAAACTTGCACAAGCGCTTTGTTAGAAGCCGGGGGGGGGGGGCACTATTCAAGAGAGGGCTTTATATTTTTTCACTGGCTTCTAGAGACTGGGACACTATTCGTGAGAGGGTCTAGTGGCGCTAGTATGGTGTATTATTGATACCATGTGTAGGGTGCTGAGTGGGATAGAGAGAAAAACCTGGATAAGAACCGAGGCGCAGCCTCTTAGCATTTACGGTAATGCATAAGATCAACTGTGCACTCCTTACAACACCAATCAAGTATTATAATAGCTTGCAGAATGTTTTTTCATGACATCTTCAGTCGAAACTCGTTACGTAGTGTGCAGTGTCTAAAACAAACAATTAGCCCCTGAGACCTGCTGCATTCTTTGCTCTACTACACTCATCCAGTGCACAGTAGACCAGCAGTCTACAGTCACACATTATCATTCTGATCTGCCACTGTAACAATAGGTCCTGATAGGACCCACACCTTCCACATGGGCACCTGTATTTTAAAAGCCCGATTTGCTGTGCTGTAGGCCCGCTGTAGAATTCTGCCTGATGATTGTGTAAGGCATGAAACTCCGAGCTGCAAATGAGATATTGGTAGTTTTGTGGTTGAAATGATTTACAATCCATTCTTTGGAAACTGGCACCCTAACTTTTTGGTGTCTCCCTCACATAGTTGTAGATATCGTGAAAACAACAGTGCACCCTGCACTGTGTGAACCATCCAATTACTCGTTGCCACATTTGAGGCCAGAAAAGTCCAAGAACAGGGAAATAGAAATTCAGCCAAGTTTTACATCTTGGACATCTTGGAAAGCCCCTGACGAGAGGAACACTATCAACTCAACCTCTCAGCTGAGATTAATTAAAAGAGAAATCCTTAGAAAGATCGGCAGCTATGGAGCTTGTATGCCCTGACCTGTGTGCCTTGCTTCTCCTGTTACGCTACAGGTTCATTCCACCATCGAGATCACTGTGTGAACACTACGCTACGCATTCCACCGGGCTATTTCTTTGAGCCGGTGACGTTATCGGATGCCCAGAACATGTGCTGGGCGTCCGGAATGGAATTGCCCACGACAATAAAGCTATTTGGAAGCCTTGTTGTGGCTGATTGCCTCTACAGCATGGTGCAGAATTACCAGTTTGCACTTTCCAGCAGGCCCTCCACCACATCGACCGGTGTTTTCATACGCGCCACGCACACCGGTGTGCCTAGAGACAGTTTAACTAGTTTCTACTTCAACGGCCAATGGGACTTGCTTAATAGACTACCTTCACACCACCGTGTTATCTGCGCAGGTGAGATTAAGCCTTGCATATCTTTTTACCACTTCTGATGCTATGTCAATAAAGCTGTCAGAGGAATATTACCAGTAACAATACTTGACATACCCGTAACCCGTAACCCCTTCGTTGTTTCAAATTGTTGGTGTGCGCAATGGCTACTGTGGGTAGTCATGTGTCAACTCAGAGCGTATGGGGGAGAAGAGGAGCAGAGATTGCTGAACTACTGATGGATACAGTGTCACATGTGCCTTTGAAGCGCTCGCAACCTCAACTTCAGCATCACCCTTCTTCTGTCTTCTGTCATTTATTTCCTTTCCTCCTGTTCTTTCATTCCATATTCGCCATAATTATGTCACCTTTGGGGCGCAGTGCCCCGGATGCGCAGTGACCTCTACGATGTATGCCAGAGCTAGGCATCTTTTTTGGCTGCATGTTTCCTTTTGCGCTGCCAGCTCTGCTTCAGGCCACATGTACACGTGTTGCTCTTTGCTTTTCAGAACTCTTGAGGCCGGTAGCAGCCCCATTTTGGTTGGTCCGGCAAGATCCGACTTCGATGCTCCCCCCCCCCCCCCCCACAAGCCCATACTCGTACATATGCCGGTACATGTACGTGTATGTGGATGTATGTAATAGACCGATCCCCTTATTATACTGGGTTCGAGCACGGGGGCAACCTCACTCGCGATCGAGCTAGTTTTTGAACGGACAGCATCTTTGACAGTGTGTTTCAGGTTTGTTTTGGAATGTCTTCTGCTTAGTTCAAGTGGTTTGCGATGGCTTCGAGCGGTGCTGAACCTCCTGCTGGTAGGAGCAGGGTCTCCGAGAGAGATATGGACTGTGAGGCCGCTGCAGGATTTTTTCAAGGCGCGGGAGGGAACGATCTCGGGCCACAAACAGGAGTTACTCCAGAGGTGAGTTGTTTTGTTGTTGAAATATTCGAATCGCGAATCGTGTTGTGAGATTTATTTTGTGCTTAGGCTACAGCAGACCGTATTTCTTTTTCCTTGAGATCGGTGCTGAAGATAATAGTAACCTTTTTCTGGTCTGCCTTTTCCTCTCCAGAGCCATCTTCTATGAAGGTAACCGTGGTGCTGCCAAGTCACCAAGTCGCGATCGCGATCAGCAGCCCTGAAGTGGAAAAATCGATTTTCCAACGATCTGGTTGGACATCAGCCACTAAAGTACTTCTGATTTGCCTGTAGTGACAACAGCAGCCATCCTTGGACACCTTGCAAAGACAGGAAAAGCCACTGGTGGAAGCGACTGCTATGAGGTGACGATAGCAGTGGTGATCGCTGTTTTGTCAAGTCGAAGGGCTTGCCAACCCAGAGGAAGCATTAAAAAAAAACGATTAGCAGTGCGTGGTATTTGTTGAGCATGAAGAGCTAGAGGAGGACAGTGCAAACACATGCAAGGAGTGGAAGGTGTTTGAAGAACAGTGTGCTGTGTGCCGGCTGGTAGTGATGGTGGTTTTTGTCAGCATGTATTCGTGCTGCTTCTTGTGCTGGAACACTTCTCCCCAGGAAGGCAGATTGCGTGCTCCCTGGCCCTCAGTCGGCAATGGGGCATTTGTTCCAGGAACATTACCCCGGAGCCAGTGATGAGTCGTACCTTTGAAAAGTCGAAGCTTGCTGTTAATCGCAAGCGTAGCGCAGTGGATTGCTCCCTCTTCGAAGCACGAGGGTCAAAGCTTGCCGCTGTCTGCAGCAAAGTGTGTGTGCGGTTCTTTCGAACCTATGAATATACCCCCCCCCCCCTCTCTCTCTCTCTCTCTCTTAGGAAGACTGCATGTTCAGAGTGAACTATTTTCTAGTATATTTAATGTGAGACGGGCTGTTTACGCCCAAGATGAAGATACAGTTTTTTTTCTGTTTCTATACGTTCCTTAGTTTGGTTGAGTTGGGTAACTCCGCTCTTCTTCCTCGCTCACCGGAGGAAATGTAGTCTCCTCGCGCAACTGGGGAGCAGTTTTCATTGGACATTAGTGACGGGACGATGCGACGGGAATCAATGGTACGAGCTGATGAACGAACGCTTTACGGAGGAAAAGAAAAATTTGCTGTCGGAATTTTCAATGTGCGGGGCCTCATGTCGGCCGTCAAGAGGAACTGGCTTGTGTCGGTACCTCTCTTTCTACGGCATAGACGTCTGTACCCTTCAAGAAATCAAGTTACCTGCAGGGCTTGACGAGCAGCGAAACGGCTAAAGATGGAGTACGAGTGGAGCGGAGTGTTAGAGCACGCGGACGGCCAGTGTCATTGTGGAGTCGCGACTTGCAGCTGTTCGGCTTGTTGGTCGCCCGGAGCTCCGTCAACGCGGGCATGGAGCTAATGCGAGCGCGTGGCCGAGGTTGCGCTGACTAGTTGGCGGCGGCTAGCCGAGCTCGACGACTTGTATACGGCCTCAGTAACGGAGCTGCCACCCAACACCTGAAACGCAACGGCTGCAGAATCTTGGAATGTTCGAGTCTGCCTTGTTCGTTCTGCCAATGTGTCATGCAAGTAATGTCTTCTCCCTGAATGTTCGGAACGTTTTTGCAAATTGTCTGTACATGTGAAAATGGGTTGGCCATCTTTTGAAGTTTTGTAGCTTTCCACTACGTGGTTCGCGGCTGTAGTTTTTATGGTGGGATATCTGCGCCAAGCCAATGCTGGATTGTTCAATAGTAGACGCTCTGCAGAGCCTGGGAGCCATTGCCCATGACAGACCAGCATGGCGAGATCTATGCATGAGGGTCTGTGCATTGTGATATTCCGACAGATCCTGAAACAGTCAAACTCAGTAAATAGCACTATCATTATCACTCAGGCTGCAATATTCATATTATGGACATATTCATAAATGACATATCTTCAATACCCATGAGCTACATTGTATATAATATATATGATATAAGTATCATAATTATTATTATCATCGTTCTAGCTCATTTTTTCCCCTGTCATAGTCCTGTTTATCATGTTCAGCATAAGCGAAGTTGTGGATCATGCTTGCATGGTTGACTCCAACGCGTACATGCAAGTAATAATAATAATAAATACGTTCCTAATAAAATACATTGTGACAGAGCTTTCGGTCATACTCCGCTGTACTACATCCTCAACCCGCCACCACCATGCGCTCTTGGCCGAACTAATGCACGAAGCATAAACACACCAGCACAGCAAGGACACTTCCGTTGACAGATATTGTTTACGCCTCTAGACAGCTGTTTCGTTTCTTCGAGCTCATCGTTAGAGGAGGATAGTAGCGGGATACTAATGATGATATAATATAAGATGATAGATGGTTTATGGTTGGATATTGATGATTGGAGAATGGAGATCTAAGAAAGCAATGACAGTGATTGCGAAATGGATAATATTATCATGATTATATGCCAGTCTGGTAATGCGTTGTACTGGTGAACAGTATTGAAATCATCACTGCATTCGATGCAAATATTGAAAGAGTAAGAGAACATGGTTGATTTGGTAGCACCTGCGACTGGCTACCGGGTGTTGTGATCAGCAATGTTACCATGAGAGAAAATAAGAGCGCAAGGATCTGTTGGGTCTTGTTGTGCCGTGCCGGTGCGAGAACCCTAAGTGCATGGCAAAATAGAACTGTTTCATCCACAACGCAGAATGTCTTGCGGTACATGGCATTGATGACTGAACATCTCGCCAGCTCGCCCAAATGGGGATCATGCCCAAACGGAGGAACAAGACATCTTTCCAGCTCAGCTAGTTATATACCGTGAAACAGATGATTAACTTGTGCCACGCATACCAGCTTCTGTTCCATTCGGCCCAGGCTTAGACACGTCAATGCCAATAGCAGCTGAGCCTCCATTACATGCTCATTGGCGATTTACGGCCGCCTCCAACTGTATCCGCCGTCCCTCAGCTTCCGTCTTCGCAGATCTGGCGTGGCGCAGTACATTTTCTCGGCTAGCCTCAAAGAAGTCCCACAGAGTGGTCCAAACACCTGAAGGCAAACCAGTCAGAAACTGGAGCGGCTTTCTTTATGTTATTGTACGTAAGCTGTTTTTCGCCTTTCTTCACCCCAGTCCTCACATCGTCCAACTGCTCCACGAGACTCTGTACACGAGCTCTACTTGCTGCCAGCTCCTGATGCAGATGCTACACTTCCATTACAGGACCAAACTGCACTAAGCCAGGTTCCTTTCCAACTCAAAGTACCGTTGCCTCTCAGCAAAATACTGGTTTGGGAGCATGGGGAGCTCGTGATGCAGACGCTGCACTTCCATGACCGAACTGCACTAGGCTCAGCAAATACTGTTTTGCGAGCATGGGGAGCAGGGCGTCCAGACTCCACTCTCTTGCGAAAAGCAAACCTGGTATCGTAGGACAGCTGTTTGGGTTCCTGGACTCATCCTGCCCTTGTAGAGGTGGGCAAAACGATTTCGATTTCGGGATCGAAATGATCGCTGCAACTCAAATATTCAGAGTGACCCTAAGACTACGTCCTTCCTCACGGGGCATAGCCTGGACCCGCTTGCTCCAGGCCGCTGTGGCTCCACACGAGGAAAGGAGTGGAATGATTTGTTTGCTTCGTCCTCCTGTTCTGACAGTGAGGAACGCAGCAATGATCCTGAGAAGGCATCCTGAAGTCGTAAAAAGGAAGACGTCTAAACAAAAACAAAACAGCTCAAATCAAAAGTCCTTGTGACATTTTTTGTAGACAGGCTTGCACTGCATGTAGATTTCGCGTGCTCTGCACTTCGCATGCGAGAAGTCACGCACATGTCGAGGTGAGGTTGGTCGCGTGTGTGCAGCAGGATCCCACGCGACTGCGGAGTTGCCCCCTTGCTCGAACCCAGACAATAATAAGGGGATCGGTCTATTGTGACCATGCAGAGTGACATAGGGTGAGAAAAGGAAGGACGTTCTGCATGAGTCAGGAAAAGGGGCATCAGCATGTTGTGTCCGTCCAAACAGAACTTGTTGAAGCCTATGAAGGCATAGCAACAGTATCTAAATGCATGTGATAAAAGAACCAAAATGTACCTTTGGAGGAGGAGAAAGGATATTGCAAGGGAATATCT